TGTGTGTGTGTGTGTGTGCGCACCTCTGTGTATGTATACGACAGTCTTCAGAAAATGTTACCCCCACCTCTCACGCTCCAAGATGCAGCCCAGAACCTGCACTACTGTTTGCTGGTCCTTGCAGTAGTAGAGATCAGAAGGTAAATTCTCAAATACATCAGTGCCAGTCACCCATTTGGCTAGGCACCAGCTACAGCTGCAGCCTGGATTTCATCCCTGAACTGCATGCACACAGTTCTTCTGATTGTTGGTTCTGTTCACAGAGACTGGTCCTTGTCAGAGAAGCAATAACATTACAATATTCAACAGCATTCTTATTTTATTTTGATTCTTCCAGTAAATATTCTGTAAAATATTTTCTGCTGTTTGGATCCCCAAAGTCCCTCAGCTCTTATGTTTATGTAAATAATAAGCCCTATTTTCCCATAGCATAGCAAAAAAGCATCTTTCAGAGACCGCGTTGCTTGCTTACCTCATAATTTTCCTTATCTGCTCACTTGTCTTAAGGTAGCTTCAAAACCAAAGGAGTGCTGCTCACCGTTGTTATTACTTCCCTTTTATGTGGTCCAGCCCTCACGTAGTCTGTGACTAATTTAGTGTGAACCAGAAAGTGAAACTTCAGCTTATGTCTGAATCTGCAAAAGAAACTGGAACAGCCACCAGTAGGGGAATAGAAATTTATGAGTCACTAAGCTGCTTTTTTCAGCCTGGCTCTGTGCCATGCATTGTATTGTGGTGTGGAGAATGTGGCAACAGCTCCTAATAGCTCCCAGTGTTTACTTTGTTCAAATCCAGAGGCACCTATGATAAGGAGAATATTTCAGGCTAGTATAGGCTGACCTGGTTATCTTGTATAGGTTCGGGAAGGGTCATTTTCCCCTCCTGCCTCTGCTGATGCATCTTTGCACAATTTTGCACCATGCTTTAGGCTCCTGTTTTATTGGTATTGTGTCATCCACATAACATTCGCACGTCTTATCGCCCCGTGCCTGCACTCCTCTACGCCCCATCCCGCGTCTCCGCACCGCAGTGCCTCTGCTGTTGTACCACGCCTGTATTTCTCTGCGCTATGTTGTTGTGTTAGAGCCCTAAATCTCTCGTTCCACCTAGAACAGCTGCTTGTTGCTTGCTCTCTGCATGAAACTGCAGTTGTACTGTGCAAAGACAAACGAAAGTAAAACAAATTAGATACAGACAGTCAGTTCAAGAAATTCGTGCTAAGTAAAACAAAGCTGCAGGCAGGTCAGGACAAGCTCAGGCAGCGGGCCTGGCAAGCCTCGGTCCCGAGGCCATGCAAACTCAGTGCAAAGTTTATGGCCTGTTGCTAGCAACACCAATACCTTATTACAAAGCTACATGTTTGAACAAAGATATGGAGCACGAGTTGTGTACTGGAGCACCTATGGATAGAAATATTTCACTGATGCTTAGCTAAAAAAAAAATAAAATGCAGACCTGGCTTGATCAATTTGATTTTACACGTAACAGAGAGGTCAAAGAAACAGTATCTAACATATGTAAATGGCACTATACACAGTAAATTCAGATGTAACCTGAAGCTGCAGACCAGTGACGAAAAAGAAAGGTGTAAATGCGTGTTAGCACATATATAAAAATGACCCAAAGTGGATCCTGGGGAGAGGAAAAGAAGCCACCACCATTAGCATCACATTTCTTCCAAGAAAGGATGGCAGTGGCTGGTGACTGACTGTCTTATCCTCTCCAGCAGCCTGAAGCTGCTGATCTGAATGCCCAGAGGAGCAATCTCTAGGGGAAGGAATACAAACTAAGAAGTGTGTGTGTTAACGATTTTAACTATAATATTACTATTATTGTGGGTTTTTTTCTTGCAAATAAGTAGTCTAACCGCATTATTATTCGTCTTTCTTTTTTTGGTAATAATTAGATCTAGACTAATAATGATTCCTTCATTAGACTAAGATTTTCATTATCCTAATAGATTCTTATCTTTACTTATCTATATAAGGTTTGCTGCTTCTTTACCTATAAACAAGATTTTTAAATTAACATCACAGAAACTGTCTCCATTCTTGAATCCATTCAATTTTAAAATGAGAGCATCTTGTTAAGAAATATGTTTAATTAGATACTGTTTAATCTCCTTTCATAATTAATATCTGTGGAATTTGATGTGTGTGTCCCCCCAAAAAGAATAAGCAAATAAAAATGCATGTGAGGGTGCCTCACGAGGCTTCTCATTGTTCCTGGTATATGACAGTATCAGGTCTCCTCATTTTGTGAGGTTTTTAGTGGAGGATGCACAAGGTTGTCCCTCTGTCCTAACAAAACAGAAAGTCATTTATGTCAAACCTCACTGTCACCTCAGAGCTAGTGCTGCTGCCATCATGTTCAGTCTCTGCAATCAGAGACAAGATGTAAGAGTATTCCATGTTTTTTGTTTATAAATTTATATAATCTCTGACTGCCAATTTGTATGTTTTCAAGAATTTTCGGCTCTGGCTTATGCAAATTTATCTTCTGTGGTATGAACAGTTGGTATCTCCACCATCCTTTCCCTCCTGTCCCTCTTCCTTTCACTTTTAACTTCTTTTAAAAATAAACAAAAACAAACAGTCTCACCAAGCTTATGGTTTCTACAAGAAGTTGGAGAGCCTTAGTACCGCACACACCTTGTGTCTCATTTAAGTGATTTTTTTTGTGTGTGTATGGGCTTTTTTTTTGGAGCTGATGTTTCAGAGCTCAAGATAAAGGTTAGTACAGCTACTACCCTGAGTAGCATGCAACCTTCTAGCAATCAAGTATTTGGTAAGTGATGAAAAGAGGCAGCAAACTGGGAAGGAAAAAGGACTAGGGTATCTACACAGATTCATGTATTTTATGGAAAATAAATGTTGCAGGTAGTTGTAGAAAAATTTATTTGAAAGGTTTCCGCAAGGCCAAAATCAAATGTGGACACTAACCATTTACTATGCTACTAAGCATCTATGGGTTTCTTTTCTCTGTCCTGGGTGTCTGTTTTCCTTGGTACATTGCTTGGTACCTAGCTTGGTACATATGGGAAAATGCGACAGTTTTTCTTCTGGAATGCAAAAATTTGCCCTAGTAACCATATTTTTACAAATTTAGTTGCACCTATATGCTTTGGTTTGACACAAATGCCTACTAGATAAAGTGCGTGCAGGAAAGTGCTTAAAATAGAGTAAGTGAAAGTAAGAGAATAGTTATGCAATGCCTTTGTGTAGCCATCTTTGTAACTCGCTTGGCACAACACGGGAAAATTCAGAAATACTTCTACAGCCCTGCTGCTTTCACTTTGGGGAAAGCTGCAGCAGGGCTGACTGGTATCAGGGAGAGCTGCATTGCACAGCGGCAAATGCAAAAGATCTGCCCTCTTTTAGTTTAAAACCAGTACTCCTTGTCATGTCTCAAAAGGCCCTGCTAAAAAGTCTGTCCCCATCTTTCTTATAAGCCCTTTTAAGTACTGGAAGGCTGCAGTAAGGTCTCCCCAGAGCCTTCTCTTCTCCAGGCTGAACACTCCCAACTCTCTCAGCCTTTCTTCACAGGAGAGGTGTTCCATCCCTCTGATCCTTTTTGTGGCCCTCCTCTGGAGCTGCTCCAACAGGTCCCTGTCTTTCCTGTGCTGAGGGCTCCAGAGCTGGACACAGTACGCCAGGTGGGCTCTTACCAGAGTGGAGTAGAGGGGCCAAATCCCCTCCCTCGACCTGCTGGCCACGCTGGTTTTGGTGCAGCCCAGGATATGGTTGGCCTTCCAGGCTCCAGGCTCCAACGTCCGGCTTTTCATTCACCAGTACCCACAAGTCCTTAACGCTTTCTAAGTAAACAGCAATGTT